ACAAAGCCAGTAGGCAAATCTGAGGTCAACAATCCTGAAGCTCCACCCAGGCCCTGTGAGCCCCCTAAAATCTTCTGTGGACCAAGTCCTGCCATGAGAGCCAAGCTGCGTAAACAGAACCTGGAGGCTGGCAAGCCCGCCCCCCCAAGCTTACCCATGACATTTGGGAAGTTCACGTGGAAGAAAAAGGAGAACATACTGGCAAAAGAAGCTGAAAAAATCGCTGCAGACTTTGTCAAAGAAGATGAAGAGGCTGCAAAGGCCTCGGTAAAAGTTTCTTTAGCTAAGACTATGGCAGTTGCTAAGGAAATTGCAGAGAAACTTTGCCAACCAACGCCGCCTGACCTAACGGGCAACCAGGAAATGATCAGGCCCAGTCCTCCGGTGACTAATCGATTTATAAGTCAAACAAATACAATGAATAAACCTGCAGCTCCAAACACTTCTCCCTCCATCAGGTCCAATACTGTACAAGAACAAACTCCACAACTCAACAAACCAGTGATTGCACAAAACAATCAATGGGGAGGTAAACCTCGACAAACTGTTAGTAAACCCGTACCGTTGGAGGCAACGCCTCCCCCAGTTGTGTCTTCACCAAAGCCACCTGAATCTAGACCTAAATTGCCAGAGTATAGACCTACACCGCTTGACATTAAGCCCCCACCACCTAAACAGATATTCACAGAAAAAAAACCTGCGTTAGTGTCTGACACCAAACCTCCACCTGTAGTGGCTGCATCTGCTGTCCCTAAATCCAAACCTGAACAATCAAAAATGCTTGATTTAATGCCAGATGTTCTGGCTCCTGGGGTCCCTGAGAGCGAGCAGACTCATACAGTCTATGTCAAGCCTCCACCTTTCTTAACCATGAGTGAGAAAATCTACAAACCAGAAAAACTAAAGAGTAACCTGGCTGCAGCCAAAGCCCAGGATTTATTTGAAATATTTTACAACAGCAGAAGCCAAGCAGGTCTTTCTATTACTAAACCGAACTCTAAAGTTGACAAAAGCACCATCGGTTTAAGGACCACCAGTTCACTTCCATCCCTGGAAGCAACAAAATCCCCACCTCAGCCTCCGGCCCAAACTCAGTCTCAGTCTCAGCCTCAGCCTGTGGTGTACGCCTGTCCTAAAGAAACCCCAAAAGCATGCCTTCCAAGCCAACAGATTCAGCCAGAGTCAGGCATTCAGATCCCCTCAGTTTGTAGGCCACCACCTGACGTGGCTCCATCTGAAATCTCTCCATCCCTACAGTCAACGATGATTTCACAATCCAAGGCTGAGATTCAAAAGTCACCCCAGCCAAAGTTGATCTCTGAAGCAGAGTTGTTGTCCAGCCCTCAGTCCGACCTTGCAAAGCCAGATCCTGTGTCCCGGCCCCAGGCTGATTCTACTGCACTTTCTGAACAGAAACAGAATGTTCTGTCTCATTCAGAGTGCGATCCTTTGGTTACTCCTGAACCAGAATCCAAACCTGGCCTCAAAACTAGAGGCAAGAGAACTCCTCCCGCTCCCCATCCAGTCCGACAGACCCGATACCAAACACGGCGACAGCAGGTGCAAAGCAGTGTTGAACCGGAACATGAGCCTTCCTCAGGGGACTCTGACCCAGCTGCGTCAAACCCAAAGGAGGTAGATAGCTCCAACATTGTTTTAGGATCGCAATCAGTAGAATTGGCAACCAGTGAAGAAGATCCTGCATCGATGGAGATCACGCCTGAAACACTGGGCTTGCCCAGTGACATGACTGCCCTGGACTTTGAATTTGATTTTAATTTTGTGTAGTGTTAGAAGATTAGTCCCACGCCGTCGATCTTCTCCGACTTTGTCCATTTCAACTTAGAGAATCTGTTTCTGGATGGCCGTGCATTTTCTAAAGGTGATCCGGATCATAAGTCTGTTCTAGACTTGAGATTTAAGGCTGGTACACAATCCTGTAGTGTTTCCATGACATTTGGTCATTTCCTCACATGATATTCCTCAGAAGTCTCGTATAAGGGTTAAGAGACTCTTGGTTGTAGAATGGTATTTTTCTTATGTTGTCCAGTCTGCTTTAAACAACAAAGACTGTTCCTCTAAACATCCCTTTGTTTCTGTATAGTTTTGTCTTTTTTGTTTGTTTTTTCTTCCTGTTTAGTCTTAGACCAATGAGAGCAGAAGCTACTGGTCACATGGCTCGACCTTAAGGTTAGTATAGAAAAAAAACTGCTCCTTTTGTTTGTAAAAAAATGTATTAAAATTTCTTTAAACAGGAAGAGGCTTTGTTAAGACTAATTATTGATGGTTTGATTTTCTTTAATACATTTATTCAAATGTTGTCATGTCACTATACTATTCGAACCTGCAACCTTCTGAAGCGGACTTGGGTCCAGAAGATTGCAGGTTCGAATCCACCAGCTGCCAAGTTACCACTGAGGTGCTCTGAGCATGGCACCGTCCCCACACACTGCTCCCCAGGCGCTCAAAAAGCTGCTCACTGTTCACTTTGGTGATGGGTTAAAAACAGAGGTGTGTGTCATAATGTCACAATGACAAGGAGTTCACTTTCCTTTCCTTTCTTTCCTTATATATTACTAACCTATTGAGAGGAAAATATTGGCATAATGTCCACGTGTGATCGTCATGATCTATAATGGTAAGCTATTTGTATGGCATATTTTATTCAAAGAGGTAACACAACTGACATGAGATTTTCAGAGACAAGATCTGGTCGCTGTGGGGGAGAATGTGAGCAGAACGTTGGAAACTGGGACATTCAAACAAAAATGAGAAAGTCAAAAAGGAAAAGATAAGGTAAGACTTGAGATTAAACTGAGTAAGGAAGTGAGATGGAAAAGTTTCAGGGAAGCCTATTAGAGAAATGTATATGTATATACTGTATAATGTATATGTTAAGACCACAATCATAACGGGATTATTTGGTGAGTCTTCAGGGTGATTGCAGTGATACTGAGACTTGGAAAGATAGTCGTGGCATAGCCAAATTAGGAGAGGTAAGCATTGTAAAACGTATAAAAGATGTGACTAGTGGTTTAATGTTTTTAATGCTAACTGGTTTCAAAACATGTTCACTTTCTACATTAAAATTTTTTGTCTATGCTCGGCCTCTTGGCGGGAGCCTAGTCCTCCATGTTGTCCATCTTAAGGTCTAAGGTGTTTGTTGCTGGGGAAGACTAAAGCCCCGCCTTTCCTACATCACTAAACTCAAGCACTAATCAAATAAATCCTGGTACTGGTAGCCAGGCAGAGCCACACGGTGCCATCCAATCAGATCACAGTGGTCCAGAACGGGCGCAGGCAGCGTATACACGGAGTGACAGCGACAGGATCTGGAGGAACAACATCACGGAGCTTCGGTGGAAACAGCTCAGCTCCCGCCGCCAAGATGCCCAACAAAACCAAGAAGGAGAAGGTGAAACCTTGTAGTCCCATGACTGTATCGTAGGCTGCCGTGGTCGCAGCAGTGAGCAGTGGCCATGGAGGACGTGGCCCGTTATGTTTAACCGAGTAGCAGCTAACAAGCTAAACAGACTAAGGCCCCCCTAGAACAGGCATGTAAGCCGCGGTGGAAGTCTGGTCTGTGGGAGTACGGATAGCAGACTCCAGATGTGTGTTGTTACGGTGGCCGTGATTTAGTGTTTACACCGCCAGGCAGGTTGCTCTTAGAGCGGCCTGTCCCTGAACATCCAACTACCGCTTCAATTATTTATCGGGCTGTGGAACCGCGGTGCTCAATCACTTAGGATGGGAACCGGAGCAGAGCACAGACGCTGATTAGGTTCCCGGTGAAAGGCCTGGTTCATGTCCAAGTTGAACTTCTCAGTGCATGGGAAATAACGATGTATTTGGACAACCGATCGATAATGACGTCAGTGAGTAAATCGGTGTTTCCAGATTGGGTGTTTTTCTGTTAGAGCTGTATAACTAATGGACAATAATGGCAAGTAAAAAAAAACCCACAAATCTTGGAGGTCACGTCATTTTAGTCACTGCTTTAAACACCCACAAATCTTGGAGGTCACGTCATTTTAGTCACTGCTTAACTTGGCTGTAAAGTCTTTTTAAGTGTTTATTTTTAAGATGTGTTTTTAACATTAACATACAGACAGTTATCCAGTAATAACAGTGCAGAAATATAAATGTACGAGAATGAACTGCTTTAAAAAATTTTTTTTAACATGCTTATTTGTAGTGGGTGTAGCTACAGTCTCTGAGTGGGATATTGAATAATTATTTTTTTTAATTAGTTTTAATTAGTTAAGTAAAATGCCTTTTCACTTTCACTATAATCCTATGCAAATTAAGATATTAACCAGTGTGCATCTCCTATTTGCAAATGTAAATAAATCCTATGTGATGAGGCACAATTTTATGCCACTACTAGTCATTGTTATCACCAACATTTTGGCTGGGTATGAGCTGTATATCTTTCTGTTACTTAAACTTGTCTTTGGTACAACAGGTTGTCCTGTGAAGTGTGAAAAGGGACTGAATTAGTTCAAATAACTTTGCCAACACTGAGCTCTATCCATGTGATGTGATGTACAAATCTTTTTTTTTAAACAGGAATCGACCAAATCTTCCAAAAGCACGAAGAGCAATAGCAACACAAGCAGTGGGAAAGAGAGTTCTGTACAAGATAATTCAGATGAGGTGAGAGACATCCACATATACAAACATTCAACAGTCAGGAAGATTCTTTCAACTAAAACATCTTGTGTGTGTGTGTGTGTGTGTGTGTGTGTGTGTGTGCGCGTGTTCAGTCCCAGCAGCAGCAGAGTGGTAGTAAACGTCCCAGTAACAGCACGCCTCCTCCCACCCAGCTCAACAAGATCAAATATTCTGGAGGACCCCAGCTGGTCAAGAAGGAGCGGCGCCAGAGCTCGTCCCGCTTCAGCCTCACCAAGAACAGAGAGCTGCAGAAGCTGCCTGCGTTGAAAGGTAGGTAAATTTAACCTCTGAACAATCTTCGTCTAAGAAGTCACTGCAGAAACGTTCGACATGTCTTGGACTAAATATCCCCCAACTCCTTCCCCTCTGGTCCTTCTTAGATGCCCCGCTCCTGGATCGTGAAGAGCTGTTTGTCCAGAAGCTGCGTCAGTGCTGTGTCCTGTTCGATTTTGTCAGCGACCCACTGAGTGACCTCAAGTTCAAGGAGGTGAAGAGGGCGGGGCTTAATGAGATGGTGGAGTACATCACACATAACAGCGACGTGGTGACAGAGTCCATTTACCCTGAGGCCGTCATCATGGTGAGACATGGAGAGACTTAGAGAGGTCTTATGGTCAGGTGGTTCCACACCTCACGTCTCTGTTTGTTTGTCTGAAGTTCTCTGTGAACCTGTTCCGGACTCTTCCTCCATCCTCAAACCCGACTGGAGCAGAGTTTGATCCTGAAGAGGATGAGCCGACACTGGAGGCAGCCTGGCCTCACCTGCAGGTACGATGATGTCACTGCGCTCATGCTCTGGTCTTTTCGTCTGGTGTCTTTACATCCCTCTGTCCTTACGTCTTTAGCTGGTGTACGAGTTCTTCCTTCGCTTCCTGGAGTCTCCGGACTTTCAGCCAAACGTTGCCAAAAAATACATCGACCAGAAATTTGTCCTGTCGGTAAGAACCAGATTTAAGATTCACAAATAAGTCAAAAATGAATCGTGACAAAGAGGTTTGGCCTGACCATAAGCGATTCTGTTTTTTTCTCTGAAGTTGCTTGACCTCTTCGACAGTGAAGATCCCAGAGAGCGAGATTTCTTGAAGACAATCCTGCACAGGATCTATGGGAAGTTCCTGGGCCTACGTGCCTACATACGCCGGCAGATCAACAACATCTTCTACAGGTCTGGGAATCTGAATGTTTTCCTCCTGCGTCTCAGAACCTACATTACCATTACAGTAATTACATCTTTATTTTACAGATTCATTTATGAAACTGAGCATCACAATGGCATTGCTGAGCTCCTGGAAATACTGGGGAGGTAATACATACACACAAAGTGTTTCATGTCTTTGTAGTTTATTCACAGTGATGTAAATGTTACAGATGTTTTTTTAGGTCACAAATAAGCAAGTATAAGAAGATCTTTTTTGGGGGGCATGAGGCGGTTGGTGGATGTTTGAAGATATTTTCGGTACCTTTTAAAAAAACATTCTAATATACCAGGTCACTTTCTCTTTTGTAGTATCATCAACGGCTTTGCTCTCCCACTCAAAGAAGAACACAAGATGTTTCTGATCAGAGTTCTTTTGCCACTTCACAAAGTCAAGTCTCTGAGCGTCTACCACCCCCAGGTTAGAGGTCATGCCCTGTGTTGTGATGTCACCAGTGACGTCATCCTCAGTCTAACGTTTGCTGATGTGTTTGCAGCTAGCGTACTGTGTGGTCCAGTTCCTGGAAAAGGACAGCAGTTTGACAGAGCCGGTGAGTTTTTATAGAATCTGCAGCACAGTTTAGGTCTGGGAGTTTGATTTACGATGCACTCTGAACTCTTATCTTCACCGTTTACAGGTGATCATGGGTCTGTTAAAGTTCTGGCCAAAAACTCACAGTCCAAAAGAGGTGATGTTCCTGAACGAGCTGGAGGAGATTCTGGACGTCATCGAGCCATCAGAGTTTGTCAAAGTCCAAGAGCCGCTCTTCAGACAGTTGGCCAAGTGTGTGTCCAGCCCACATTTCCAGGTAACAGAACCAGAACCAAAACCTCCCACTGTGAGCATGATGAACCAGTGTACTGATGATGATGATGATGATGTTGTTTAGGTGGCAGAGCGAGCATGATATTACTGGAATAATGAGTACATCATGAGTCTGATCAGTGACAATGCTGCCAAGATTCTCCCCATCATGTTTCCTGCTCTCTACAAGAACTCCAAGAGCCACTGGAACAAGTAACACTCGCACTCACGCCGACAGTTCTAATGTTAAATTTAACAGATCAAGTGTTGGAGTGTGTGTGTGTGAGTAATTAAAAACCAGTCCGTGTTCTGTTCTTGTTCCTCAGGACGATCCATGGTCTCATCTATAATGCTCTGAAACTTTTCATGGAGATGAATCAGAAGCTGTTTGATGACTGTACACAACAGTACAAGGCCGAGAAACAGAAGTAAGACATCGACAGTAGAAGAAGAAGATTACAGCCATGATTCACACTGTTTTATTTTTAACTTCAAACGTCTAACATTTGTGGGTTTTTTTTGTAAGAAGGAAATAACTTGTTACATTTTTTTTACTTCTGTAGAGAAAAATATAAACTCAAGGAGAGAGATGAGATCTGGAACAAAATAGAAGATCTGGCCAGACAGAACCCACAGGTAAGTGTTCAGCTGTAGGTCAATGCTCTTGTCATGTTCCGTCACGGTGCCTTAAATCTGCCTCTAGTTACTGATCTCTCTGCACGTCTCTACTGTCTCACACCTGTATGTCTGTCTCACACCATCTGTGTCTGCTTCTCCTGTCCTCTGCTTAGATCTTCTGCATAATTTAATTATTTATTTTTCCTCAACAGAGAAATAAGCTCCACCCACTCCGCCCTGGACTCCACCCACATGATGAGGTCAGATCTCTGCTGAGTTTGATTCATTTATTAGATCGACTTTTTTCATTGATGTCATGTCAGTTTTTAAAGTAACATGTGTGTCTTTGTGTGTGTGTGTGTGTAGTACCTGTTGTACAGTGATAGTTCTGTAGCTGTGTATTCCATGGAGACAGAGACTCCAACAGCAGAAGACATTCAGCTGCTGAAGAAGACAGTGGAGACTGAGGCGTCACAGGTTTGTATATCTACAGCACACACACTTACTCCATGCAAACCCACAGTAACTGAATCACACAAGGATCCATTTGATGAGCGTGTTTAAGTGATACCTGGATTTACAGGAATTTGGTTGAGTCAGTGCTGCAGCTAGAGCAGCAGAGGGCGCTGTAGTTATAACAATTCTTCACAGCAAGGAAACCAGAAAATGCTGATTTCAGATACTTCACTTAGAAATCAATTAAATTTCTATTGCCAATGTCAGATTACATTTAAATACTGAATTCACAAAATGACAAATGTGAAATGATTACAGAACAACCTCTGTCTGCTGTGACGTGAAATAACTGATGGTATCTGTGCTGCAGACTGTCCTTGTGTTTGTGTCATTAATTCTGGGCGTGTCTCTCACAGGGTGTGAAGGATCTGAAAGACAAAGTCCTGATGAGGAGGAAGTCAGAGTTGCCACAGGACGTCTACACCATCAAAGCTCTAGAGGCTCACAAGAGAGCTGAGGAGTACCTGACAGCCAATCAGGAGGCTCTCTGACCAGGGGAGGCACTCCCTCTAAACCCAAGTTCGCCCCTCCCTAATGTCCGTCTCCCTGGGGAGGAGGTCGGAGGTGCCGTCTTGGTCTGAGGCCAGGTCAGGGTGGAGCTGACGGAAAAAGCTGTGGAAGCTCCGCCCCCTCAGGCCACGTTGCCTCCCACTCCTGCTGCTCTTTGTTTAAACCGCACGATGCTGTTTACACATGTACATCAGGTCCCTGGAAGCCCTGCAGCTTTTGGTTCTGCTGAGCGAGGGGCTAAGGACCACAGACATCAGATCCTTGTCCACCTCGCCACCGAAGAACGTGCAGCAGAACTTGGACCTGTTACATTGAACTCAGCTTCAATCCAGAGCCCTGCCCCTCCTCCCCCCTCTTCGCCAGTTCGCAGGTGGACTGACGACCACGACGAGACACGGTGAATGTAGACATCCAGTCAGCTTCCAGAGAATTCTGGAGGAACCATGTGACTTTACTCTTTCCTTGTTGATGTTTACATCAATGCTGTCAAGTTTAGACCAATGAGAGCAGGATCCACATCAGTGTTGTTTTGTCCCTTATCACCTGAACTGTAGATGGTAGTTGCTATGGACCAGGTCAAAGGTTTAAACACAGAGTGGACAAGGACCATGTTGTGGTTCTGGAGGCCAAGGTGCCCTGACGCTGCCCTGAGGCCTGTACGTCATGGTGGCTCCTCAGTTAAGGGGCCCAGCTGCACTGTGTTTTGAGTTTTAAAACCGCCCGTTCATCTGAAGCTGAACCAATGAAAATGTATCATTGAAACATTGAAATCATCACTCTTGTATCAGGAAGTAACGTTGTACCAAACACTTTTTCACAGTGGAATCGCTCATTTACTTCCCGTTGCCTTTGGCCTATCCGATCCCGCTGCTTCTTTAAGGTCGAGGTCAAGGTTGGCAGGAACAATCACTAAAGTGGGCGGTTCTACTGGGGATACAGACAGATTATGCCCGTATTTTGGCCACATTCTCTCCGTTTCTATTGTTTTCTTTGTGATTCCTCATGTGATGCGGCGCATGTCTTTCAGAAATCAACTTTGTCAAAGAACACACTGCTGGACAAAATTGGCAGCAACAACTAAAGTCAAATTATACGAGACAGTCTGCCCTCTGCTGGTTAAAGGTGAAACACCACAGTTTGACATATGGTCCAACAGTTGCCATGTGGAGCAAAAAACAAAAAACAATGCTCACACATGATTGGCAACTGGACACAGTAGTGACCTCAAACAGCACTGTGTCACAAACTGCATCAATTCTGTTTTAAATACACACACACCCGGCAGGATTAATCATGTTGTAAACGTCGATGGTAAAAGTTCAAATATTTTCCAGAACTCCAGCAAGTCCAGTTCCTACTTCGAAGCTTTAGGAGACACAAAGAACCTGGAGAGTTCAGAACCTTCACAGACGTGTGCTTTAATGAAAAAGGTCACATGGTATATCAGTCTGTACACAGGAAGTGAAGGAGTCCCACAGTTCAGTCTCTCTCTCTCTCTCTCTTTCATACCCTTACAATCACAACAAAATGTAATAAAAGGCGAAATGTAACACAAGTGTCGGTAATTCTCTTTACTTCTTTTGATTGATCCATTTATCGACCGATGTTCGACTTGTACAGGAAGTGTTGCGACCTCTGGAATCAAAGTTTGTCTGTTGTCATTGTGTGTGTGTTTAGTAACAAAGGCCTCAATCAGCTGATTCTGATCACTGAAAACTTACCTGTTAATCCCCCCCCTTCATTTATCAAGTGTCTGCACTGATCAGAATTTGAACAAAAAACAAACTTTGATGAATTATGTACAAGGGATATGCACCAACTAAATGTCAGTATCACCAAGTACCAACGTACTTTTATCTATTGGTACCAAATATCAGGCTGTCCTGTCTGAGGGAAATATAGAGAGGTTAGTTTTGGAGCTTGGACTAAGTTTGCTTGCTACAATTAGTACCTAATTCAAGGTAACAGAACTGTATTGGTTCAGATTTGATGGATCTCATTCCTATTCGCAGGTTTCTGGCGTTGTTGATGTTGTCAAAGTCTAACGTGTGCCAGATACTTGGAGGTTTGTCGGCTGGACGAGTCCTGTTAGTGCGATGTGTTCAGGGCCCGTCGGGGCTACGACTCTGCCGCTTCTGCAACGTTAGTTCCACCATGTCCTTCCACTGGTCGTCGGAGATTTCCTGTGCCCACGCTGGTACACCCAGAGACGGCAAGGCCACGGCGGCCATCGTCCTCTTAACCAGCTCCACGTGATCTGTGGGAGGTATGATGGGAAATTCAATATGAACTGTGCTCTGTGTTTTAGGTTTCATCCTTCGTAATTTATTCTGTTAATTCCCTAACCGAGACGAAGATACTGAACACACCTGCATCCATGGGGATGGAGGCTCGACTCCTCAGTGCTGCTGCTTCCTCAGGATTCTCCTCTTCATCACTGTCAGGAGGCGGGGCTTCAGGAAGGTGCAAACCCATCACCTTGACGACAAAGTCAATCAGAAACAGTTCCCACGACACCACCACAATGTCTGATGTTGAACGGACTCACCTCGATCCTTTGCTGCAGCTGCTGAACTTGGGATGGCGTCGCCTCTGCCTCCGCCTCCGTCTCATCGTCTTCGTCATCTTCCTCCGGCTCTGCTGTTCTCTCATCGTTGACTGTGTCTCCTTCAGGTTCCTGGTTCAGAGGTTGGTAAATGTATCCTCCTACACCGTTCTCCTCCACTTCTTCTTCCTCCTCCTCCTCCCCCCCACCCTCACCATCACCTCCACTCCAAGCTGCACCCCCTGGTGGTGGTGGGGATGCTGTGTCAGCTGGACGCTCTT